TACGATATGGCATGCAAAGGGCAAAGCATCTGTTCCGATGACCTATCAAGGTGAACTTCAGTTGAATCCTCGGAATTGTGAGGAATATTGTACTGCCTGGCCTTTATTCTCACTGTTTTCTGGCAGAGTCTTTAGTCGGTATCCCTCCTAAGCTCAACCATCGATTTGCCCCATAGATGCCCTGACGCCTCTGCAGATATGGCAATATTTTCCATGATAAAGTCGAATTAATTGTTTGTCAAAAAGGGATCGGTACTGTAAGTTTATTATCTGTCGTGATATCTAAGAAAGAATATCTAAGAATCTGAGAATCTCATATGTTCAGTAGCGAGCGTTAGTTAGCAGAAGGCAGTGCTTATAGAAAGCAGCTATTAATTTATTTCAGCCAACTAAGCTGGATGAAACAATCTCAACCCTACTGATCTATATCGTTGTAAGGAAGGTAAACACCTGATTATTTTTATATCCCCATTTGACCATCTCTTATCCATGACAAGTGTGAACTGATTTATATCAGTTGACTAGATGTGTTACGCTCAATTTTGCTCATTTTTGCTGCAGTTACATCCTCTACTCATCAGTTCACTTTTCTCTTGCGCATAGACCAGCTCAATTCACCCAGCTTACTGAGTTTAGCGCGCTTGACTCGTTCGCTTTAGCTTGCTCACACACGTTGGCTCGTTGGACTCATTCAGTGTAGTTCGCTTGTCACACGATTTTGAGCTCGTGTGTCTGATTCAGTTTAGCTCGTTTGCCTCGCTTAATTAAACTTGCTCATTGCTTTCAGTTAAGTTCAATCGTCTTGCTAAGTTTAGTTCGCTTGTGTCCCTCGCTTGCTCACTCTTTCGTCTCGCTCAGTTGAACTCACTCGTCTTTTTAGGCTTAGTTCGCTTAGCTCAGTTAGGCTTAGATTGCGGCGAATTCGTAATAGGTTGTTTCAGTGCATTTGTTCTTCCTGCCAGAGCCAGACCAACTTTTGATTCACCTGAGATCAGACCCCGTATCAGCTAACAGCTTGCTTTGTAAAGACGAGACAAAACTCGAAGCCTTGGCTGGCGCCACTATCGCCCCGGGGCAGCCCTGGGCTAGCAGTTCGTCTGTCTCCCGCGAGGTGGCGGTGGCGGCGCGGCGCTGCGGTCTGGCCGGCCGGTCGAGCGCTGCGGTCGAGCTGGTCCGGTCCGGCGCGCTGCCGCAGTGCGGAGCGGACCAGCGGGCTGTGCGGACCGGACCGTGTAGTGTCTGTGTGCGAGTGTGAGCGGTCCGTGTCGCCGGTGGCCTGCCCGCGCCGTGGATGGTGTGCCGCCCCGCACCGGGCTCGCGGGCTGTGCGCGCCGGCAGCGGGATGGGCGGCTCGACAGTGAACCGTGCCGATGACCGGTCACAGGCTCCGCTCAAGGTAGGCAGTGGATACGAATGGCCGCGGGGTGCCACAGGGTAGCGGTCAGCTACTGCCGATGGTCCGGTGGGGTGGTCAAAATAGGAAAGGAGCTGTTCTTTCTCCTAACATGCGAACATTGACCGGTAGCTACCGCCAACTCTCTTGGCCTGGCTTTGTTATCGTGAATCGTTTGATCGGGATCGCCCTCGCGTCAGCTCTGATAGTAAAGCACGTGGACTTTCCGGTGCTCTCAGTGATCAACCGAATGGTCAACTACTTGGCACGCTGCTAAAAATCAGAGATAGACCACCGTTGTGCAAGTCATGGCTTTGATGTTTTATACAGACTTCATCGGTAATCCGGCTGATTGTTACGGCGATGCCTGCTATGTATGACTTGCTAGTTGCTTCAGTACTCTGTTCTTTTCCTTTTTCACCCTGAACGGGACTTCGTACCTGTGTTGTCTGTGGTTCTTAAGTCCTCACTTGAAAGGCAGCGACAACGCCATCCTTCAATGTCCTATAGCAAGACGGTCATCTCCGTTTAGTGTAGAATCGTGCCATGCTGGGCTGGTTCGGGCTATGCCGTGCCTTGTGCCATGCCTCGCCACCCCATGCCATGTCGTGCCGTCTCTGGCTGGGTCATCTCGGGTCAGCAGCACCGTGCTTGGACCGGTTGCAGCGGCCGCCTCCTCCGCCGTGGCCTGGGGCTGCGGCGGCGGCGGCCGTTCCACGGAAATAACGTCACCACCGGCTGCCGGGAGCAGGGGACGTCGTCAGCTCGGCCGTCAGCAGACGGTCAGCGGTGGCTGGGAAGCGCCCCGGAGCCTCGCTGCGCAGGGCGGGGCTCCGAAGGTGTGCGGTGGTGACCGCCAGCCTCGCCCCGGGCCTGGTCAGGGGGAAACACACGGGGAGAGGCAGAGTGGGGGATGTCGCAATCCTAGAGTGGTTTCGTGTATCGGGAGTAGGTATATTTAGATTGCCCGAGGGCGATTGATTGGGTGTTTCTGTAAGATTACGTAGGCATTTGTTGCCTTTTCGGGCGCCTTGGCTGATTGAGTGGGGAGACTGAGGCGCTGGGACAGCCTTGGAGTGAATCAAGTCCGACCTGACTCATCGGACAGGGCACACATGTGGGCAGACAGCTCGTGACGATCACGATCCGGATTCTCCGGAATCGGGGGAGCTCCTGTAGCAGTCGTAGTTCAGGCGAGCTTCGTTAGTTCCAAATGCTGCAGCAGTTCGCTAACTAATGGCCGCATGGTTCGTAACGGGTGTTGTTGGACTAGGACACTGTTTCGGTGGACGGTAATGGAGCTGGACGGATGATTATCGTGACTGCTCCTTGGCTAATATCCGCGCCGTCAGAGCTATCTGACATCAGACGAGTCAAAAGACACCTCTGATCAATGTCGTCTATGACCAGCGCGGTCCGGGGGATACCAGTGACCGAGGTGACGGGCTGTGCCGACCGTGACTGCTGAGAGCACGGGTCGTCGCTCATCCGCTGCTATGCCTCGGCAGTTTAAGACTGCAGTTATCGGCTCCAGTTTAGTTTGGTGACAGCGACAGCAGACATCTCAGTCTGTTCCGGCTGTCTGGTGACTGGCAAGCGGCGAAGGATATCCCGTTCGGTACAAGTTCTATCTGGTGACTCTCCCAACGGACATCCTTCCGAGTGATCTCTAGCTCCATCCGGTGACAGTGCGACAGACACACCATTGACACATGCACTCGGTGCAGTCCCTTATCACAGCACCAGTAACTGCAACACCGGTAGCCGTTCCGCTCTACCAGTTTCAGCGACACCGTCCCCAGTCACGCTGCCGGATCACTTCTCTCTCCCATTCTATCGTGCCGGTCGAATGTGATCACGAAGCGACACGCACCGCAGACTCTTCGTGACTACCTTAGTTATGACTCACCTGACCTCGAACGGAACGGGCTCGGGACGGCCGACACCCCACCCGAACTGTCCCAGCGGTGGGCGCAGGCCGGCCGTCCCACCCCGCTAGCCGTGCACGACACTGCGGTGACTGCTGGCTGGGATGTCCCACCCCGGTCTCTGCCTAGTGTGGAGTGGTGTGGGAGGGTTGTGGTCAGATGTACTGGTCAGGGGTTCTGGTCGCGCTGGAGGGGATTGCCACCGTGCTGATACGGTAGCTGTTTGGTCACGTTGACCGCGGGTTGGTTCGCCGTGAACTCTGAGTAGCGGTAGACCATGTCCGCCGTGCCGGCTTGTGCCGTGTGCCGGCCCAGCCGGATGTCATGGGTCAAAGTCCAGCTACCTGCAGGAACAGCTCAACAACATCCAACAACAGCTTCTGATTCCCTTGTGTTGCGCCTGCCGGAAAGCGTTTGGTTCAAGTAGTAGTCTGTTTTTGGGACTTGCAGGCCGGGGAGCAAACCGACGGGTTCGATACTAATAGGCTACACTCTGCTTGCTGCCCGTCGTTTTTGCCCGATTATTCTCTAGCATTCGTCTATTGCCGGACATTGACTTTACTTCATAATTGCTTCTTCATAGGCCGGTCTGAGGCACGAACTCTGCTAACTCGTGCAACTGTCCAGGTTTACGCCAGCCCGTTGCTCCTTGCATCGGCGCCATTGTGACCGTGCGCGTGCCCGCGGTGGGCGCACCTGTGGACTAACGCTTACCTCTTTTACCCAGGTGGCATAAGAAGTGGGCTTAGGATCGCCACATGCCACTGCCGGCCGGCGTCCCTTTTATGTCCGCTATGAGCCCGGACTCTTACGCAATGCTGGGTGTTAAGAGCTCGGACAGACCGTATCACGAAACGGGTTTGGCTGTTTTTGCAGAGCGACGTTCCATGTTAAAACGACAACGGGAAATATGTGACGGCCATTGGTGCATCATGAACACATCAGCGCTATACCGTTAGCATGTCCCAATTTTGCATGATTTGAAAATGGTGGCTGCGGTTTGCACAGGAGCGGGGAGCACTTCAACTTGGCTCGATTGTCGATGATTCCAAACATACTGCTACATTTTTGCGGGAGCTCTCGACCGCGGCCAGGCTATTTCAGGCAGATGTTGTCTGGGAACCGCTGTTCCGAGTATTTCCTTTGCATCACGGTGGTTCGCCGAAGCTGGCGGAGCGGTGCATAGGACCACTTTCCGCTTACTGTTATCAGGGCCGCCGATACTTGGCATTTCATTCCCGATCCGTGATGTTTTGTATCAGTTCTCCACTCCGTGATATGTATCCCGCGTTGGGTCCGTGACATTCCATGTCTTTGTCAAGTGTCTACTGTCCAGGCGGATATTCCGTGTTCGTTCCGTAACACCGCATGTCCGCTCTGTAGCATTCCCTGTCCGCTCTGCTACATTCCGTGTCCGTGCCGTGACGTCCCGTGTCCGTTACGTGACAGTGCTGAGCCCATCCCGTGTAGCTGGACGACCTGTGTAATGTAAACCGATTCGGTACGGATCAACGGCCTGGACTGACCGCGGTGATGAGCCTGTTTGTGTTGACGGTTAAGCCGAGGAAACCGCTGACTGCCATACCTGCGGCGTGTTGAGCCGCGCCCAGGTGTGAGCGCTGACCAGGTGTGAGATGACGTCACTGCTGACGCGTGTGTTCACTCGCCGCTGTCCACAGGTGGTGTGTGTGATCGACCTGCAGTCGCACGAGCGGCTCCAGCACCGCAAGAAGGCATGGGAGGAGGTCAAACTGGCGTGCCGAGACAGCAACGCCAACTGCTCACATATCCAGGTAACGTGCTTACCGAGGGATGACGGACTCTGCAACCATAACATAACACATATATATTATATATAACACCATAGCAATAGCTACTGAGACAGCAGCGCCTGTTCGCAGATCCAGGTAATGTGCCGGTCGCGGGTTGGGGGGCTCACCAACGTCCAACACTAGCCACTACACAGTTACTTCCAATTTCCACTCACAGATACCATGGAACAGATCTGGGGATGTTAGTGAGACAATTATAACGGTGGCGACTTGAGAGGAAGCTATGAGACGCCGACGCGGGTGTATGTGTTAGTGATCCGCGTGTGTTCCTTCTGTTGATCAATCGATGTATTGTTAATGAAGTGGTGACTGGCTAATCCATCACCGCCCTCCTCAGCGGACCACGTCGGCAACTGATTGCGATCACTTGACTGATTGCTGTCAGCTTTCTTTGATGATAACGCGTCACCGGCAGTCACGAGTACCGCTGCCGCCCTCCTGATCGTGATACTCGGGCGGCGCCCCTTGCACTTTGCAGTAATGCTCCTTTTCCCGTCGTGTTCGGTGAACTCTGCAACGGGATCTGGTTATTCATGTCCTGACTAGAACTGCGGGCGTGCTGGCTGGCCCGAGTACTTGTTCCTGTCTTATAGCTCAGCACAATTACTTTGGTCTCTTTTTCGGTGGTTTCCACGAAACTGGCTGAACCATTAGTGAGGTATGCTACAGTAACGTCATGTTCGTGAGCCGCTGGCGTCGCGTGCTGGGGTCAGTGCGGCTCGCGAACCGAACCTCAGCCTGCCGCGGCCGCAGTTGGGAGCGCTCCGGCCACACGCGCGCTGCCCAGTCGTGCCCTGCCCCTCCGGAAATGACGGAGTTCTGGGGACTGCGGCGGTCGTGGGGAGGGTGGTTCAGAGGGAACCTGGATGGTGATTTAGGAGTGAGAGGGTTGGAGAGAGGAGAGAGGGGACGGTGGGGTCTGATGCTCGCCTCGTGACCGGAGAGTCACGAGCTTGGCCTCACGCCGAGTATCCAACGTGCACCCGATTGTACCCAGCCTATGTATGTTTGTGCTCTCCGGATGTTCATAAATTCAGAGCAAGTCGATGTAAAGTCTTATTTAACGACTCCCAGCAAGTCAATGAAGTATGGCGTCAGAACTGGTCACTGAGGGCCAGCCGCCTGGCTCAGCAGTGCCACAATGCTCAATACCCAGCCGATTCCAAACAGTAACCGGCGCTGAGGGTCCGACTGAGAAAATCCCGAGCAAGTCCAATGGTCACTACGAGCAAAACTGCAAATTCCGAGTGTGTAGCGATGGCGGGGATCTGACGACTCGCCGGTGACGACGTGCAGTGACTAACCAAGTCTGTTTCCATTGGGACCGGAGAGCTCCGCGCCGCCCCCGCCGTCTCCGTCGCCTGCGGCTCGGTCGACCTTCCGGGAACGCTTGGCGACTGCCGTAGATGACGTCATCTCCTGCCGTAGATGACGTCATCTCCTGTCGGCTGTGTGTGCAGCTGTGCTGGACCGTGTGTGTATACATGTGCGTCCGCTGTCGGCACCTCTGCACGCTCCACGGCAGCGGCGCGTTACGGACCGTCACAGACAGTCATCGGGCCGTCACGTAACGCCACGCCGACCGGCAGACGTCACGGCGTCATCGCGGTAGTATCGCGTTTTGGACGCGTCTTGTAGTGACTGTCCTGGTGGCACGGGATGCCGGCCGTGACAGCGGACCTTGCGCGGCGGAGGAGCCGCCCTCGGACAGGGCGCGCATGCCACCGCCGCATTGAGATGTGCGACGGGTGCCGTGCTCGGCGGCAGCGGGTGGGGAGACACCGGGGAGGGGAGGGGAGGTGACGGAGGGGAGGTGACAGGTTCTCGGACCGGCTCTAGTGCGGCGTCATGACACCGCAGCGCTGAGGAGGCGGGGGAGGGGGATCACACCAGCTCAGTGTTTGGACTCGGCGGATGGCTCCCGAGTCGCACCTGGCCTGCTGGGCTCAGGGTATATTGCTGGGCTGTGCTCGGAGCCCGCCCGGCAGACGGCAGGGGCCGCCGCTCGGCTGCCGGCTGGATAAACAATTGTGAGCTCATCGGCTTCATCGTCGGCATGGCGGTGATGTCAGCCGGCAGAGGGATAGACGGCCAGACGACGGCAGACCGGCTCGGTCCGGCCTGGCTCCGGCTCCCAGCCCCCGGTCCAAAGCTGCTGCTGGAGTTAGCTGTGCTGTCGGGCTGTGTGACCGCCGCCATTGTCCGATCGGGACTGGCATGGAACTGCGCTTGGATGGTTTCTGTAATTGTGGTATGGCGACCCATTCACATAATGAAGGAAAATGCTGTATGACTATTCTTCTGGGGAAGCGACGCTTGCGATATCAGAAGATGATCAAAGCAAATATTTCTTTTAAGCCTTTGGCCGTCTCATAATACCTGGAAACTGTCAATGAGCAAATTCCCATTCATGAAGTACTTTCCATGGGATTTTAATGTAATTTAAAGGTTTTCGTGACAGTGCAGCACATTTTTCGTCCCTTTGTCGCCGATGGGAGGGTGTTGCAGAATGCAGACAGACGGGAGCGCCACTGGGGCCGGGCGGCCGGCCCAAATCGATTCGCTTCTGGGCGGCGATACGCTTTTACGCCCCTGTGTCCGGGCGTTGTCTTCGGAAATGTATGGTTTTGTGTGGGAGCTGCAGTGGTCGTGCCGGCTCCCTGGGCGGCGGCAGGAGCAGAGCGGGTCTGCCCTGGCACGGGCCGGGTGCCCCAGATCGGGGCTCGATTGCCGCGCCACGGTTGCGTCAGTGCGGTGAGCCAGAAAATTGGCGCCGTTTGAATGGGTGAATCGGCCCGCCGCCATCCGTGTTGATTGCGCCGATCCCGTTACTCCGAGCCGGCGCCGCCAGCCCGTGGGGAAATCCGTGTAATCGGCGACAAAATGTCTGCTGGCATCAGCTTTGTTTTGTCGCCGCAAAACTGCCTTTGACGTCAGCCCTCGCCGCCTTTTGCCGGTTGGCCGAGCGGCCGCCGGGCGCCGGCTGTGTATTGTGCTGCAGTGTGAGCAGCGCCGTGGCTCGGCCGGCCGGCGGCGGCTGCCGCTTATGAATGGGTTTTCCCGTGTGACGCGCCACTCACGAGCCGGCTGGTTGACCTCTGCGGCCGGCGAGTCATGCGGTCACTGGTCCGTGTGCTGGTGCTCAGCGTGGGACCGCCACGCCCGGTCCGTCACGGACGGACGGCGGCCGGGGGTGATAGGGTACGGCGGGCCCTCCCGGTCCTCGGCTGGCCCTCCCGGCCCTCGGCTGACCCTCCCGGCCCTCGGCTGGCCAAGAGGGAAGAGGGCTCGGTCAGCTCTCGTGCCTTGGGCCGACCGAAAGTGTTCTTATCTTGCGTTCGGTGAATGCTTACTTCTTATAGCAGCCATCCTTGCAGCGGATTGGCAGTGACGCTGCATGCTCTTTCAAATGCGTGAATTATTTATTCCTTCACTGTCGCGTTTCAGTCCCGCCCCAACCCCGCGTTTGCACTCCGCTCAGTCTCCCTGTTCAAGTGACCCCTCTGCCGCTTTGATCACCATGCATCTCTAACGACCAATCGTCACCTCCCTCTCTCCAACAGTTCGAGAAGCTAGACTTTGGTGAGACCAATGTCCTGGACAGCTTCTACAACGCCGACGTGGCGCTGGTCGACCTCACGGTGCAGATGCAGCAGAGCTCGCTGTTCTACCACCTGGGTGTGCGCGAAAGCTTCGGCATGAAGGGCAACATCCTGCTGACGCTCGACTACAACACGGAGATCACTGCGCCGCTCAAGGTGGGTAGCGAGGGAAGTGGAGAGCGGATCGGGTCGGACGGGTCAGTGGGTGCCTGCGCATAGTATCCTCACGGTCAAGAGTTTGTGTCTGTTGATGGCCGTTCATTGTGGCTGTTTGTGTGTTTGTACCAGTGCTGGTGTATTTCAATTGTCAGAGTATTCGTCTCTGTGGACCTACGCAGATTGCTAAGCCGTGACTGCCTGCTCTCGGTCCTGTTCAACATGCACCATTTCATCAGAATCGCCTGGTGGTTCGGCCGTCCGTTTCCTCCCCCCGTCCATCCAGCGGCCGCCACATCCTGTCCTGTAGGCGCCTGTCTTCCGCCGCCGCTGTCCCCGCCTCTGACTCATCTGAACATTAGCGTCATATCTGGTGCGGTCACTGCAACCCTTAACATCCGTGTCATTGGGTTCAACTCACACTCCACTTCGATATATTTTTGGTGTTTCCCGCACTTCCATGTGATGGCTGAATGCTTCTACCGCCTCAACCAGTGTGATGACGTGATTGTGTATGTATGCTTCCTACGTCATGAGAGGTTGCGACCTTTTGTATAGTCTCCGTATCAACGGAACCGGCTGGAGACTGCCAGTGACTCATCCAAACATCACAGGACTCGTAGATGACTTCCTAGTTTCAATCCGCATCTCCACATCTTCCCTTCAGGCAAGATGCAAGATCTGCACCGCTAACGCTCCATCTTTACCCCTAGGCGTCCTGCAAGAACTACGGTTTCATCTCGTACCGTACCAACGAGCAGGGCCAGTGCTGTGTCACAGACTACTCGCCGCTCACCAACGAGGAGACGTTCGAGACGCGCGAGCAGCTCTCGATCCGGCTCACCAGGCACCTGCAGGATGTCGAGATCCAGGCCAAGTAAGACAGACGGGGATTTTTCGTAATTTGGCGTGGCTTCCGCCGAGAGTGAAAGTGATCATCGCAATGTTTTTTTTTTCAGCTAGTGTGGCAAACGAAAATTCAAGAGAAAGAGTGGGGGAGTAGATGACAATGTTCTTATTTGATCTCTATCTCCAATCCCAATGCATACGCATGAAACATAGATCAGAGCTGTATCCGACATGATCAGTCAGTATCCCGAACGATCTAACCGGACCGACACGCCACCCTCCTTCTTACCCCGGCCGGCGCGTGGCCGTGCGCCGTGCCGGCGTTCTCGGAGGAACAGCAGCGCTGTCGATGGCGGCAGAGGTCGGTTCACCAGCCGGCCGACTCTCCGCCCCGGCTAGCGACAGCTGTGCTGATAGAATAGGGCGGGGAAGGGCAGAGAGGGATGGGAGGAGATAACCTTTGCGTCACCTCTTGTGCGTCACCCCTTGAGCGTCACATCTTGCACGTCACGACTGCGCGTCACTGACCACCTGGGCCGCTGTTTCGCGCCGCCACCTGCTAACACGGCGAGGCGTGATTCCTGTCGCGCTTTCTTTCGGTCGTGGCACCGCTAAGCCGTGTCATCTCGTTTGTTCGGACTGGCGTGCGCGTCCGCCGGCCACTCCTCTACAGATGCTGGCTGTCTCACTGGATATTAACGTCACTGGGTGCTATTCTGACGTCACTGGCTCGCATGTTGACGCTCTCACCCCCTCTCCAGGGTTCACATGAAGGAGAAGTTCCTGGCCGATCTGCGGAAGACGCGGGAGACCGTGAGCCCGCAGGATATGAGCAAGGCGCTCAACAACATGCGGCGCCGGCTGGACGACCCCAACATCCTGTCAGCGGACGTGGTGCTCAGTATGCTACTCTCCTTCCGCGAGATTCAGGTGGGTGGCGGTCTGGTGGTGGTCCCGTGGTCGGTAGGATGTGGATGGGTGTGTGGGTGGCTGGGGAATAGTGGTGGGTTGCTGTGGTATGAGAGAAAATGTATGTGCCTGAGGAACGCGATGACCGGTTATGATGCTGAGGAGTTTTTAAATTGTCTGACTGAACCTTTTACATCTGGGTCTATTGAATCATCAGCAGGCATGCAGAACGTAGTTTGTTGATCAAGCGCTGCGCAGTTGTCATTGCAGTGTGACCGTGATCGCAGATGGCAATCAATCCAGTGTTCTCCGCATCAGCAGATGACTAATCCTGACCTGTGGCGTACCCTGCCACTCCTTACGAAACATAGTGTCGTCTTTGAGAGGCTTCACATCGCAAAACCAATCAGTCACAGAAACAACAACTGGTATCCAGTGGCGGTATATGACGCTATTTCGTACCCTGCCCTGCTGGCGTTCTTGTTTCGTGCTGCATTTGAAGCACCAGTGAAGGCTAAACAGCTGCATGATAAAATGCTGACTCGTAGAACGGGGTGGATTTAGACCGCAGCCATTTCGTCATCCATGTCGGCAAATGAATTTCCCTTGTTTGCAGCCGGGCTGGAGTGCCATGAATTCCCCACCAGCGTCTGCTGTAGCCCGCCAGTCAAGGTTCCGCTGGGCTACACGGCTGTTGTCCAATTAAAAGGCGCTTTATATAGTGAAAAATGCCAGTTTATTGGGGATCACCCAGTGACTAGTTAGCAACCGAACTTGTTTTTGGGTGGATGCTGATGCCGTTAGCTGCAAGATTCGTGACGATATAGACGCTCATGAAGTCCATAGCTACAGTATACGGATACCTCAGCGTTGTTTGTTTAGCAGTCCCGATGCGCCGAGGGCCGGCCCCTGGTTCGTGTTATTCCGTGACCGGCTCACCGTCAGTGCCCGTGATACGTCCGTGATCGTGACCCACCACTCTGGAATGCCTGTTAGCCGAGGCTCGCCGCACGGATGGAGACGGACTCGCCTGATCCGATTGCCGGCGTCTTAGTGCACCCCCGTACCTCCGTCTTACCCCGGCCGGCGCGTGGCCGTGCGCCGTGCCGGCGTTCTCGGAGGAACAGCAGCGCTGTCGGTGGCGGCAGCGGTCGGTCGGTACCATCAACCGTACCGGTCCCACCGCCCCGGCTAGCGACAAACGATCATACCTTGCTGAAAATTCCAGCTAGTGACACCTCACTCCGACGGCGTTCGCGCTCAGTAGGTGTGAAATTGGGCTGGAGAGATGGTAGCGGCGCTTGGCACTGACAACCGAGTGCCCAGTGTCTACCGGTGGACGTTAGTGAATATTGATAGCGGCATTTTACTTGTGCAGCTGGTAGTGTAAATCGGTTTCATTTCGACCTAATGTATTGTAGACCACTATACGTCACTTCCTGGCATCGACTTCTCGTTCAGGAAATAACCGGTAATTGTTTGATCAAGCAACAGTATGTGGTTACCAGTCATTGCTAGTTTTCCCATGTAGAACAAAGTGAATATTCAACTACGGTATTCACCGTAGGTACCACATGAATCTACCATGAAGTCTTCACTGACCTTGAGCAGATCCATGAGAACTATACCAAATATTTACACCGGTACTCTATAGGCATTAGGTATGCACTATATATTACCTTAGTTCTGTATCGTCCTTATGTTATCCGCCATCCGCGGCAACTTTATTAGAAGTCCCCGTTTTCTCGCCCATTCTGGTCACTTCTCAGCCTCCTACCCTTTGCTTATAAGATCTCCGGCTAGCCTTCCCTCCTCTGACGCCGTCGGAATGACTTCGCATTAGTGTTCGGCGAACTCCGTATCTAACCACGACACTGCCGTTTCCCGGAAAACACCTCAGTGCGCATACCGCGGCGCCTCGGCCGTCCGGTCGGAGCCGCCATGGAGCCGCCACGGCGCCGACTCATTCCTCAGATACAGCCGGCTCAAGGGCCCGCGGATGGAGGGAGGCCCCTGAGAGCCGTCTGGTGTCGTGAGGAGGGGGGAGGGAGGGGGCTACTTTCCGAGCTGCCGCCGACGATAAGCCAGCCGCCGGATAAGGTCATCATGACATCAGCAGTTGGCGTCCGGTGCATGGGTTACGACGCGGTGGAGTTGTTCAGTTGTCCACCCGTGGGGTGTAGGTTCGTCCGTGATACGTGCTTCGGCCGTGTGTTATGGGTCCGTCTGCCAAACGAGGCACGGCATGGTGCTCACGGATCCGTCCCCCTCGTGATGTCCGTTTGGATACCGCGTCGTAACCCATTAGTTACGGCGTGGTATTCGTGGAGCTAATCCCCGTGCCGGCGAGACATGTTAGTGTTCGTCCCTCCCGTTGCGGGCTGCCGGCTAGACCCTCCGTCGAATAGCACGGTCTGAATGACGACGAGTGCTCTGCTCTTTTCGTCTGGCTGCCTCGGATGTCTGGCAAGTTTGGAGGGAAAGATGGGATGGAATGCTGCGTGTTTACTCTCACTGGTATGGCATCATTCTCCGCTCGTTTTTATTCGGTTTTATTTGCCGCACGTATTTTGCCAGCATGCGTTTCGCTGTAGGCATTGCACGGTGCATGAGCAATGAACACGTCGGAGTCGATGTGGGGAACACGAAGAGCATTAGATATCCGGTTATAATCGGGGTGGACTTGGAATATATTTTTGCTTGCTGATTTCCATGTAGCCTTCCTCCATAATATCGAGTCCTATTTCACAGTCGAAGGAAACATTCATTTTAAAAATAAGCATTGGTTTTGACTGCAGGTCATGTGCTTTTGGTGTTTGTTTCGTCACCTGGCTGGAGTGAATCCGCCGGTGTAAATGCTTCCCTTGGCAAGGCGCCTGCTGCTAGGTACGCTCGATGAATGACGACGTTTTTAGATGGTCATTTATTTCTTATGAATTACTGTCTTTGAGTTTTGAGTTTCGTATATCATTCACTTGTTCCCTGTTTCCACAATCTGTGTTTCTGTTATAGCCGATTTTTTTTATAGCCGAACGCCCATTTGCGTCCGCATGGCCCTGATCAATCAGTGGCTGTTCATGAATGGGAGAGGGAAGATGGGATGCAACTGGATTGTGGATATGCACGGAAGTTGTGCAGTGTGCACGGTGATCGGGGCGCCTGAATTGTGGGTGTGCACAGACAGGCTCTTGAGCGGGGGTGGGGCGATAGCTGTGTTTGTTCCGGCGCAGGCATGACTGTCAGCTATCTAATCGAGCATTGCACCTTGGGCGGAGCTGTCTGTGTGTTTAACGTTTTCGGCTGCTATGTCAACTCATTAATGCCGCCTTAGCGCTCAGCGCCGTGAGTCTTGGAGTGGTGATATCATGACCGTCTGTGACTGGATGTTTGCGGACAGCCGTCGCGGCGTGCTAGTGGTGCACCTTGCACGGTGATGAGCCACAGGGTGAGACAGGCTGATCTTTGAGGCCCTGGCGGCCTGACCACATTGATGTGTCTTCCCTTCCCTTGTCATTGATGCATCTCCCTCCCTCACCACAGTGACTGAGACCCTGTCTAGCATGTCAGCTCCTGACAGCAGTGTGTGCCTCCGTCGTCAGGACTACGACGCCATGGTGAAGCTGGTCGATGACCTGATGACGCTGCCCAACCACAAAAAGTACACGTCGCCCGTGGCCATCCGGCATCTGTTCGCCTTCGCCTTGTCCAGGTGCGTGCCCAGCGTGTCTGTATAACGCTGCGGTGACTGTTGTAGCACTGGAGTCGGTGTGTTTCGAGTCACTGGGAAAACGTGCGGAAATGGGAACTTTGGACTTAAAATGGATGAGATTTATGGGTTCTTAAAGGACCTCACTCCTGAGCCTCCTTTTTACCTCTTATTCTGCTATTGCGCTCAACTTTCAAACTTTTCCACGACTAAAAGATGTAAATGAATCAACAGACATCATTCAGCATTTTTACTGTAACATTAGAGAAGCGCAGCGGCATGTTTACTCAGCTGTGTTAGTTAACATCATGTAAGTTCGTTGTGTTTTGTCTGCTTGGTAAGTGACACCGCACAGCTGGTAAGTCGGGCCGTTTGTGGCGCCGTTTGTTGGATGACATCATTGCACGTGCGGTTGCTCTCCGTGCTCTGAGTGAGTTGACGCGTGAGGGCGGTCTCTTCTTCCCATAGTGAACGAAGGATGGTTCTTTGACCGGTGATTCTCTGTCTCGGTTTGCTTAGTGCTTCCTTCTATCCCTCCGTCTGTTGATGGTGGTGCTCCCAGGGGGGACTGTGATGTGTTGGTACTCGGGCCAGAGCTGGGTGATGGACCCGTCTCTAGGTCATTGACATTGACATTTCGGGATTTTGACCTGGGGACGATGGGACTGGCTGTGACTGACTGTTATTGGCTGTGGCTAACTGAAGTGACAGAGTGTGGCTGATTGTCCCATGGAGTTCTGTGGTTGACTGCGGGTCTACCGTAAGTGCGGCCGTGGGTTTCCTTAACAATTATTGACACTCTCGGCGGACATGACGTTTCTCTAATGTCTGCCGCAGGCGGAAGGGCGAGAACGACCGCGACCGGGCGCTGAAGGTGATCCACGAGGCGCTGGAGCGTACCGAAAACCACGTGCCCGATATGCTCTGTCTGTGCGGCCGCATCTACAAAGATATCTTTGTCGAGTCTGGCCACACCGACTCCGAGAGTCTGGAGAAGGCCATCCACTGGTACCGCAAGGGCTTCGAGGTGCAGCCCAACGAGTACGCCGGCGTCAACCTGGCCACACTGCTGGTGGTGGCCGGGAACGAGTTCTCCAAGAGCCGCGAGCTGCAGCAGATCGGTGAGTCTCGGAGGGAGGACGTGAGGGGAGGGTTGGGAGGTTTAGTGAAGGTACGGCAGTGCGGCGAATGGGGGGGGGGGGGGCGAATGGGAATGAATGGTCAGTGTATGTTAGCAATTGCCTGGTGAAAGATAGAGCACCTGCAGTTGTTTTAGAATGAGGCACAAAGGTGGGGCCTGGATGACTTCAGAATAATACGGAAAGCCTGGAAGGGCGCGGTGAAAGCAAAGAATGTCGAGCCAAATCGCTCCAGCTGTGGTTCCACGGCATAGACCGCAGTGCAGCTGAGGCCACGGGGTACAACTCAGTGGTACAGCCAAGACTAAACGCTGCCAGACCTGAGTAAAACTCATACCATACGTTACAAACAGAACGCTGCTGGAACCATGCAGTACAAGCGGCAATGCAATTGAGGCCACACGGCATAGAACGTACTAGTAGTACAGCCGCGCCTCTCCGTCGGAAGGAAGGGCTGTGAGCGCAGCCTGTCCACCGCCCGCCCGTCCGCCCGCCTATCCGACGCAGGTGGTCGATGACGCGCGACGGCGGCGGCGGCGGCGGCGGTGGCGGCCGGGCGCGCTGAGGTGGCCGGCCGGCCGGCGCCGCGCTATCCGCCCCCATCAAAGCCGCCGCTCATGAGAACAGGCTCGGTCGGCCAGTGTAATGAAACGGAAATGTCCTCTGTTACGTGAGCGGCCGGCCTGATTCATGTCATGCCGCCGCCGCCGTCTGAGGATTTGCCGGTGTCTGTATCTTTGTCTGTGTCTGCGCTGTATGTCTGTGTCTGTTCTCTGCGTCGGTGTGTGTTTTGTGTTTGTGTCTATGATATGCAAGCGGGGAATGAAATGATCAAGTGCGTAGAGTCGATAGCTGATACCGAAGACTGAGACTGAGGCGTCAGTCTTACCAAAGTGTAAACTGAGGCCTGTACAGCCCTCTGCAGACTGCGTGGTAGGTATTCTTTTTTTGACAAAACCGATAATAACTCAAAGGTTATGTTATCAGTCGGTCGGAACTCACTGCAAATAGATGCGCCATGCTCCACTCCTTCGATTAGGTTTATCAATAAACAAAGTTTACGCCTTGTGTGGCGACAAAATGCAAAAGTTTGTTTTGGGGGCAAATATAAACTTTTGGGTTTAATTGCCGAACTAGATGAAAAATGGATACGGTGATGATGCCAATCTAAGGGGCGGGGTCTAGCGCGTCTTGCTGTTACGATTTCCGAATGACCGATAGCATAGTATTCGCGTTATTCTCATTTTTGTCGAAAAAAGAATACCTACCACGCAGTTTGCAGAGGGCTGTACATTAGCTGGTTCGACTGTGTGTAGAGTACCTAATCACTAATCACACGATGCGTCTCTAGGTCTTGTGCCCTGGTGACGAACATGTGAGCCGTCCACTCCGACCACAGTTCCTTACTGCCCTTCCTGACGCCGCCCGACCCCAGCCCAGCCAGGTAATCACGCTCATCGTTACTGCGAGTAGCGTCCACCGCCAGGGTGGTTAGGTAATACCCGACATGTTTTCAGAATGGCACACAACATGCTACCCATGTCTCGCTGATAATACTATTAAGTCGAGTTTTATTGGCTGTAATCCCTTGCACTTTGTTATAAAGATATGATTTGTCACACGAACGGGGCAAAGCCACCACGGTATATTTTAATCTGTCCTTGTCCATAGCGACGACCTTTCCGCTCGCCGTCTCTTGCCTTTGTTCACCACTTATACACCATGTAAAGACACAGTTCCTCGACTCCACAATGACATTCGACATCCCCCACCATAGGCATGACGCTCAACAACCTGATCGGCAAGAAGGGCAGCTTGTCGACCCTGCAGGACTACTGGGACATCGCCACCTTCTTCGAGATCAGTGTGCTGGCCGAGAACTATTCCAAGGCCATCCAGGCAGCTGAGAGCATGTTCAAGCTCAAGTCCCCCAATTGGTGAGTGAGGGCAGTACCCCCGCCCTTCAGGGCAGCGTCGCGCTGATTGCAGGGAATTTGGAGTATACTTGGATCGCGTGAGTCGGCGACTGTCATGTCATTGTTGTCGGTGACGCCTTCCCGCAACAGACGAATGGAGTTTGTTATCTATATGACGTGAGAGCCTGGGCGATGAAGGAAAGGCGACAAAGATAACGTCTACCGAGCTGGGATTTCTCTTTGTGTGTATTCTGGCGAGTGTTATGTGTCAGCTGCTTAGTTAAGGAAATTACACACCTTCAACGTGTCATAAGTTCTGTAAAAATGTGGTTGTCGCATTTGGTAAGCATCGGGGTTTGAAATGTAGGCACATCCGGCGGGTTCAGCATGCCGGGATGTTCCTCTCATGCCTCGCTGTCCTGTTTCAGGTACCTAAAATCCACGATAGGTAACATAACGCTGATTCAGAAGTTTCGGAAACATTCCGAGGAGAGTGAGAAAATCCCTGAGATGGAGGTGTTCAACTTCTGGATGGACTACTTCTCCGAGGGCATCCAAGAGGAGGCGGCCGCCATCACCATTCGATTCCCGGTGAGATTTGTTCGTTATGTGATCGTATTTCGGGAACGGCAAATCGGAAGGGTTACTCTGTTTTAGGAGACAGCAAACATGAACAAATCGCCAGTTGGATAGCCGTTTGGTAGATAGCGAATACCATACTACTATCCTGCACTCATTGCCAGCAACACTAATCCCAGCTCACAGTCAGCCTTCTGGGTACGAAGATGACGATTAGTTTGAGAAAGTGTAATCAGTCATGACGTTACTCGACTGCGTTTCACGGTCGCATCTCTCAGACAAGCTAGTACCCCTGCTGGTTCCAGAACGGATGATGCGCACTGGCTGTAATTATTCATGCAGTGTTTTCCTGAGCCATAGTTGATCTGCGCACTTGTACGTTTCCAACGTGATATGCCTGGAATGAAACCTCTCACTCTCAGAAACTGGTCGAGACACTGTTGCGATGCTTTTACACCGCGGCAATTCACCGCGCTCTGAAATGCGATGCCGTAGATCTATATGCATGTACTTGTATGATAGGAAAACATTAGAAAGCAGCAGCTTGAGAAGCTCAGCCACAGCTGGTGTCATCCATTGGTGTCCGAGCAGCGTCATCCCTGCCTCGTCCGGACGGGCTGTGACGTGGCTGGCGGCTGGGACAGCGCCGGGTGACTGTTTCTCAGAACGGACCGGTGCCATGTTCCCAGTGACGTAATGTGCTGCGGAGTGGACCCGGGTACACCGCGGTGTTGATCGGTATGCAGTCATTATCGCCAAACGATCAGCACCGGCGGCAACGACTGTTGTGGTGGGGGTGGGAGTGCCCGGGGGTGTTTTGACAGGGCTGATTTCGGGGCGGGATCTATTGCTATAGCCGTGATCTGGATGCCATCAGAGGAGTCGAAAGTGTTGATGTTTGAGATGTTGTTATCATGATGAATGATTTGACTGTCGAAGTGGTATTTGGGCTGGGCTGGATCAATTGAGGTCATCCTCGGTAACCTGCTCTTCAATCATAGGCCTCTGCATACAGAAGTGTATGCTTCAATATATTGTTTTGTTGTCAAAACTCGCTCCGTGTTGGTCACACGGCTTCGATAAGTTATAATTGCGAACGAGCATAATCACAATAATGTGGTAAAGTCGCGAAGACTGCGCTTGCCACAGGTTGTCCTTTGAACACAAGGCACCTTGAGGTTCGACTGCTACCGTTGCCGGCCTCCGCCGCCCCTGACTGTCCCGTGTCCTCCTGGCTCAGGTGCTTGTGCTGGAGCCCACCAAGGAGTACATGCCCAGCTACGTGGTGATGAACCTGGACGCCGAGACGTCGTCCATGCACATCTCCAACCTCTGTCTGGACAGCCTGAAGGGCAAGTGTCGCCGGGTGCACGAGTGGGTGCTCGAGGCCACCAACATCAAAAGCATCAGGTGAGAATGCGAAGAGGGAAGGATAATGACTGTGCTAGGGCATGCGGTCCCAATAGGTATGGGACAGTTGTGCTTGTTATGTATGTAGTGGCGAAAATGTAAATGCATTACTGCGGTGATGATTTGGAAGCACGCCAACAAAGCGGCTAATGGGAGCATTTTATGCCTTTTAGTTCTGGTTTGATTTTAATTGGCTACTTGGGCACGGGTCTGATCATTAAATTCGTTTCGTGACCATCTTTTGCTCACCGTTTGTGGCGGCCGTTTCATGCAGATCGTTTTGTCGAGTCTGTAAATGGTCTACAGTAGCTAACGATAGCTACTGTTCACGTACGGATTGTCACGCTCAAACCGTCCTGACATGTCGATGAAAGTGACTCCAAAGTGGCTCCAGTTTTACTGGCACTGACGACATCCAAATATAAAGTGGTTCCGAGCTTTTCCTCCCTCTGTGTATCTCTGATTCAGCCCCTATGTCGACATGAATCATGATATATTTGATGTGCTCTACAACTTTCAGTCACTGTACCCAAACCCATGCTCACATTTTGGCAAAATTTTGAGTAATCGCTCACTGGCCGACAGTTGACAACTCCAGATACCACCAGCTTTTCTAAGGCAATTAACATATTTTCTACGACAGCGTCCCCACTGTCAGTCGTGTCCCTCTCTTCAGCTGCCCACCGCCGTTCCGCTCACCGCTCACGCCCTGTCCCGCTTCTATTCCGCAGCCAGTACAAGCGGGACGACCGGTGCGTGTTCCTGTACGTGCACCAGAACTCTGACGACTTCCAGATGTTCTTCCCGTCGGCGACGCTGCGGCAGCGCTTCTACGACCTGGTGCTACAGATGACGGCCGACATGGAGGGCATGGTGCACGACCTGGGCAACGACTGCTCGCTCGGCACCGCACCGCAGGTAACGCACTGGTGGCGTGGAAAGGGCGGTACCGCGCCGCAGGTTAAGTCCTGCTGGGGCGTGGGGAGGGGAGGAACAGAGTCGCAGAACGTACCTTCCCGCCGCACCGAGCCTCAGGTAACGTCCCAGTGGCACGGCCGCGCGGGTAGTGTCTCGGCGTACAGGGGAAGGGAGAGAGCTTGGCACAAGGATTTAACACCGCCGTAGTGTTGAAGGATGATGGAAGGCATGGCGCATTCGCGGGCATCGTTTCGAACTGTGTCGTGTATGAGAGTGAGGCCAAATGTTGTACGAGTAAATGGGCCGCCGCAACGCAAAGTCCCCAGCACCGTGTGTTACCCATACGTTACATCATACACTGATTTGCTAAATGCATTCAGCTTGCATGCAGGATACGCTGTAGGCTCAGGCATCAGACAGGCGATTGCGCTGGCGTCGTTCTTTGAAGGGACTTTACCCCACAACGATGACATTGATGCCTGTCGATAGTGTTAGGCTGTGTTGAGCCTCTTGTGTACAAACGGCCTTACTTGATGTCCCATCGTCATGTGCGGGGCTTTCCGGCCCTGATTTGTCCCTACACGTCTTGAATTATCATCGCCCTTAACCCACGCTAAGTGCCAGTCTTTCCTGTTCACACTCATGATCCTGTCGTCGCCCTGTCATCGCCCCTACCAGTGCCATTTACTGCAGCATCACTCCTCGAAGTTCTCTGTTTTCTGAACTGGTGGGGTACTCTAAACCCCTTGAACCTGATCTCATTGCCAGCGTCTGTTGGTAGTTGACTGGTGGCATTATGCCTTCTGACATTCTTTCTCCGTCCCTCAGTTTGAATACGAGGTGGACGAGGTCGGTCACCGTATCGTGCTCGGAAAGGGTACCTACGGCGTGGTGTACGCGGCGCGCGACCTCACCACCCAGGTCCGCATCGCCGTCAAGGAGATCCCCGAGAAGAACCTCGGGTGAGTGGCGAATGCAGCGGCCAGTGTTAGGAGAGGGGACCTTTGGCAAACACTTGAGCATTGTTGGAGGGGAGCCTTGGGTGATTTGTTTGTTTTGTTGGGTTAGGCCCTTTCGGTCCAATTAGACTATTTCAGAGCCGGAGGATGATAGGAATTAGGGGGAGACATTGGTCTGGGCAGGCACCCTAGTGAGTCGCCGGGGCTGAGCCCGTCCAGAGGACAGGCCACCCAGCCCCAAGGCACTCACTGCACCCGGCTACGGGGTGCGCTCCCTCGGGAGCAGCGGTGCCGCTCCAAGGGAGCAGCCCGCATGAGATAAAGTTGCCTGTCCAGCCCGGAGGGGGGGTTGCGGCGTGGAGGAGAAGGATTTCCGTATCCTGAGGATAGAAGCATGGAACGGTGCCTTGGGTGATCACTGATCAGTGCTGGGTATGGAACCTGATATAAGTGACAAGTACGGTTGAGACGCGGAGGGCTTCCTCGGTATTCTCATCGAGCTTTGATAGTGTGTATGACGCTTGGACTGCAGCTAGGGAGGTACAGAGTTGTGACTTGTGGCTAACGATTTCTAGTCATTTTTTTTTTTTGTATGCAATAAGTTACATTGTAGAATATAAGTTGCTCTTGATTTCGCTAATGTTCCTGATGACCGCGATGATGGTTGATTCCATCGCTTGTGACTGAGCGCACAGTGACCTGACACCACCGTCCCCTCCCCCAGTGACGTGCAACCTCTGCACGAAGAGATCAACCTGCACAAGCAGCTGCGCCACAGGAACATTGTGCAATACCTCGGATCTGTCTCGTCGGACGGATTCTTCAAAATCTTCATGGAAGAAGTGCGTACGAGGAAAATATGGCATCTTGTGGGGCATTGAATGACATTGTGCTCTTAGGATCAAAGCTGGCTGGGTTTCTTTGTGATATCTATTAGAACCTAATAATGACTTATCGATAGTATCTCTTCGCTGAACCGATACTGACGGTGTGTACCTCTTCCAGGTGCCGGGAGGCAGTCTGTCAGCAATGCTGAAGCTCAAGTGGGGTCCGCTGAAGAACGAGGCCACCATCGCCTTCTACACAAAGCAGATCCTCGAGGGCGTCAAGTACCTGCATGACCAGAAAATTGTGCACCGCGACATCAAAGGTGGGACGCGCGGATGGTCGGAGGCCGGATCCGGGTGACCTGCCTGACGCTGTCTGGAAGGTTCAGTCAGCTGGTCTCGGTCGCCGCTCAATGCTGATTGCTCAGGGGGCTGTGCGCCGGCCATGAGACTTTTCACTGGGTGCTGCTTTGTGCAGCTGTCATCTGTGTACTTGGTTCGCCTTGGTCGGTTGCATGCCTTATCATGGTTAAATGTATCATTTATTCGTAAGTGTAGAGCGAAATGACTTTCCCCTAATTAATGGAACGATGCGTTACCGACTATAACAGACCAAACTTTCCGAGATGTGAACTTCAAGTGTTCGCCAGCCTGACCTTACCTCTAACATCGAACGCTACCTCTAAATAACATGGAGCACCACATCCCCACAGGCGACAACGTGTTGGTGAACACGTACAGCGGCATGGTGAAGATCTCCGACTTCGGCACCAGTAAGCGACTGGCCGGTCTGTGTCCGACGGCGGAGACGTTTACCGGCACGCTGCAGTACATGGCTCCGGAGGTGATCGACAAGGGACAACGTGGCTACGGCGCGCCGGTGAGTACTACTGACCACTGGGTATGACTGTGCAGTGTGCACTGAGCGCCCGGTGTGATCGACAAGGGACAGCGCGGATACGGGGCGCCGGTGAGTCTGAATTATCACAGCGACGGTGAGGAGAGACAGAGCTAGACAGAGCGGAGAGGTGATGTAGAGAGATGTGAAGGTGGATTGAGACAGGATGGAACGATCTGGGACTTGATAGACGAAAGGCTGATGAAAAGAGAGGAAGCCGAAACACAAGGAATTAACGACAGACATGGAGAGGGGTAAAGTCAGAATGAATGATGAGCTGCTCACTGCAGCTATTATAATTCCAGCTGGGGTGATTTGACTATTCATATTTCATTGTAATCTTATCGGGACGTTATTCTAATTTTGATTGTTGAAAATGGTTCTTCTATGGAGCGGTATGGCTTATGGAAGTGTTGCCTCTATCGGATTTTGTTCAGAGTCACTGTGATGACTGCGAGTGCGGACGTTTGTAATGCAATGCAGGAAAGTGTGAAGGTCCTGACCACTCTGATCCGACCCTGTCCTTGTCGGGCCCGACCCCCGCCAATCGCCATACATTACACGCTACTCGTGTGGGTTCAGTGGCCAGACGGCGTGCCGCTGCTCGCCTTTTCCTGCTGTTCTGTCCGTCATTGCCAGGCTCATCGTCCGTTTAACCTGCGACCTTCGCACGGGTCTTTGTTGCGCCGCCGCTGCGCCTTCTGAGAACTCGGAGCGGCGCGGCGCTGTCAGCCAGTGCCATGAATCCGGTGTTCTACACGCCCTATCTCAGAATATACCGCGCTGGAACATTATGTGTGCGGAAAGTCCAGCGCCGACCGGGCCATATCCTCTGTCTGTTTATCCTCTGTTGTTCGAACTGCTCACTAACCTGTTTGGAAGACCGTTAGTTGAACCGACTGAGCTGCTTCTGGCGCAGATATTTGGGGAACGGCTGATGGCACTCGTGATAAGCCCGATTGAGCTGCAATCGTAGATCAAAGACGCCGCATCTCTGTGCTAATCCTGAACGTTGAGGCTAGATTATGCGGCTGAGCTTTCACGTAATCCTTGTCAATGCTGTATCAGTATATACCTCATAACCTGTCCTTGACAGGACGTGACTAGGACTACGAACGGTAATATTTGGTAGGTGGTAACTGGTAGCATATTAGTAGCTTTGAGTGGAGTTGAGTTATTAATTATTTGTATGCTGTCATATTTCACTAGGTTAGCCTCTGCTGGGTTTTCAAATTCATTTTCCCTTTTCCGAAGATAGTACCTATTCAGTGACTTTCTCTTCATATGATACGGCTCGGCGCAATCTGGACTAACCTTAGCTATCACGTTTTGGGAGAAACCCTAAGATCGAAAACCCCTGTTTGATGTTTCGGAGTTCAGACTTTGAAAGTTTTCCTCTTGTCCACCCATGGGCAGTGGGGCACTTCGAGCAGCTGGTGGCGCCCCCTTCTCTGTCCCTTCGGCCGTCTGCTCATATGGCACTACACTACTGGCAGGCTGATACTACACTACACTACTGGCAGGCTGATACTACACTACACTACTGACAGGCTGACACGTGGTCAATGGCCTTTTTGGCCGATCTGACACTGTTTCTGTCTGTTGACAGGCTGACATCTGGTCGGTGGGCTGCACCGTGGTGGAAATGGCCACCGGTAAACCGCCCTTCATCGAGCTCGGATCCCCGGAGGCAGCCATGTTCAAGGTATGACCGCTGCAGCGCTAGATCAGTGTCTGTGCGGTGTACGGCCAACGCCGCAGGTCAATGGCAAGATAGTTTGGTGTGGATCCTGTCTGTTTCGTAGCCTGGGGTACCTGTAGAGATGATGATCTTCACAGATATGGGGGGGAAGTCGATACTTAAAGATGAATATGCCTTTCTGGTTTAAGCTTTTGTCCTAGCGTTAAAGACTGATAGAATCGATGTTCTAGAATCAAATGTGTAGGGTGGCAGTTGGCACCGCTACTATTGACCACAATTTGCCACATTAGTCGAGACACGTTCATAGCTGATATCGTTGTTCAATGTTCATGTCTGGCTTTACTTCGGATCGCTATTTCTTACATTGTGCCCCGCCGCCTCCTCCAGGTGGGATTCTACAAGATGCACCCGCAGATCCCCGAGTCGCTCTCGGACAAGGCCAAGAAGTTCCTGCTCAGCTGCTTCGAGGCCAACCCGGAGAAGCGCGCCACTGCGGCCATGCTCCTCGACGACCCGTTCCTGAACGAGTGAGTAGATGACGCTCGGGTACAACCAGCGGTCACGAATTCACGATGTTTGGCCTCGTCACGGTTCACGGAACAGCTCTCTTGAGTTTGGTGTGGAGCGTCATGGTTCACGTAACGGGTCATTGTCCAGGGTGGTGTGGAGCGTCACGTTTCACCTTAGATCACTGAATGGTCAAGCGTGCACAATGATGGGTCACGGTTCGCTGTGTCTGTTCACGGTAATGTGTCGTGTCATGTTTTACCGCCTTTGTTCGCCGTTTAGTATGATGGCGCTGTACGGTTCACGACAGGTCTCTGCTCAGGTTTGTACTATGTACATATTTGGAATAGATGGCGCGGCTGTGCCAAAAACGTACGGTGTCCGAGAGGGTGGTGCTTGTTGTTGAGTCGGCTTATATTTCGATATGGAGTTTTTTTTTTGGGGGGGGGGATTGTCCTGTGTATTTTTGTGTGTGTGTGTGTGTGTGTAAAATTAAGTACTCGTTAAAGGTAGTGTGCCAGCTTTCTTGGACCGTATGGAGTTAATGGCCCAGATAAGGAGAACCGGATTTTTAGAACTTATCCATACCTTCAAAACTCATGGAAACGTCTTAAATTCTTCAAATTTTGAGTACCCCAGTGCGAAATTCGCCCCGACGGGTTGTCGGTCGTACCCCAACCACATTTCACACCACTATGAACAATAAATGCACACACTGAAATCGCTATTACCGATATGCTCATCCAATCAAGTTTCGATAAACCCGTTCATCATCATCTCCTGCGGTTTCGAACACGCCTGTTAGGTGGCTTCTGATGCTCGTCGAGGTCGGAATTTCCAAATACGCGTGGTGCGTCGGGCCACGCGCTCTGACTTCGGCCAAGAAAAATGCGTCAGCTGATCATTGTCATTTCTGCCAGTGAAATGGGGGTCATAACTTATAAGACGGCTTTTTCATATCAATTATTTTACATAAAATCATATTTCAAACCATAAATAATGTTCGACAGCCAAATAAAAGAAACAATACCAATACGGGCTTACAGTTTAAGGCTCGACATTGTGTTGTCTACGATTAGACAGCTGATAACTCATTCCCGTACGTCGTATGGTCGTAACACTATAATGACCTTTGCTTATTGTCACAAGTGCGCCGCATTCGCGATTGTTGCCCGACGCCTGTTTGCAGGTGAGCCCACTACAGTTGTTATACATATCTAAAAACCGAAAAACTTTTAGGCGAAAAAGGCACTATTCCAGGCCCATTTTTGATTTTTTTTTGCGATATTAGGTAAAAACAGAAGCTTCTTATCCTAGGAAAGATAAAATGGGAAATCTTTCAAAGGTGGCACACTACCTTTAAAAGTGGCTTGTCAGCCGCTATGTGTATCTTTTGTCCCTGGAAAAATCATGCTCATTTATCTGTTTTTCTTTCACAATAGACACCCGAAGTCAAAGGCACAAACTGTCGCCGCTTCCTAGTAACTGGTGTAAACCCTGGTCGTCTTTGGTAACAAAGCAGCTCAATTGCGGTTCTTTGAACGATCTTTTACATTCAGCTCAATTGTAGACTGTCGGTCTCATAATTAGTCATTCCGGTTTGAATTCATTAGACGTGCAACAGACATAAAATTGGCAAGTCCATTCACTGGTGCGTGATGCGGCTGACATCATTATTCTGACGCTGACCGAGCACGGTTCAACTTTGACCAAGGACAGTCCTAATTGTTTGCGAAGCATGCAGGTAAAATGTGGATCACGTCATCCTAAACTGGTTCCCAAACTGCTGAGTTACCTGTGCTATTTTTATGGCCAAGTGAAGCTGTTGTGCGAGTCATTACCTGTCCGGGATTATGCGATTTTTCTTTTCGGATCGTTGTGGACTGATGTCATGAAATATTCTTTTCTTGGTCAAAATTACTGCTATAATTAACATCGAGTCATCCTGGATGTGACGTTTTTTCCTTATTATCTGACCTTGAGATCTAATCGTGCTGTCTGATCATGAAAGCTTGGCGTGAAATAAACTCTTTAGGCCTTCTTGTCGCTGTTCTTCTCATTGGTTAAGCCACCGACACTTTGAACCAGGCAGGATTGTGGGCTTAATATCACGTTGATACCGCCTTTCCTCACAACAACCCTCTTACATAGCTCTACCGATGGTCGGTCGGATGGTCTGTCGTTCGTTAGCCCGCGGCGATGCCGTATGACCTCACTGGTCAGCTCTGTGGCGATGCTGTATGTCGCTGATCCCCTTCTCCGTGGCGATGCTGTATGACCTCACTGGTCCGGCAGGCATGGCCGCAAGAAGAACCTGCGGCTGACCATGACGGCCAACATGGGCGAACTCAACAGGAGCATCTCCGTACCGGCCGACCGGGTCAACAAGCAGGAGCGCGCGCTGCTGCCGCGCCTCGGCTCGTCACCCGACGAAAGGTCAGTGACGGATGATGAGGGAAGCTCATGGACGGGCGGGGTAAGACACTGAGCGGGTATATAGAAACAGGTTGCCAGGCTCTGCCCGGTATTCTGTAGAAAGATCAATCTGTACCACACCGCTGGTATCCGGCCGCTTTGAACGTGCTGTATTATACGAATGTGTTGGATAAGTGCTTAGTTGTCTGGCCGGGCGCCTGGGCTGCTGTGAATCAGTGGCTGATAGTGGCCCGCTTGCTGTATTCGCCGGTCGCTTGGCCTCTGGGAGAGTGAACTGTGTACAGTCACCAGCACTTGCTACTAATCACCTCGTTTTTGTTCAGTAGTTTGAAGACCGATCAATTCTCAGTCGCGCAAGTTACGTCAAACGATCCGTTTGGTCCTCCGATTTTCGAATATCTAACTTGTTTTTGTATATTCGATGCATTTTGGGATGGGGAGCCAAAAAACTCGTTTCTGCCCTAAAGTGTGCCCCAAGAAGTCGTAGAACCTAGCCCCGCCTCTGATCCACAGACCACTAGTGCCATCTCTTGTCAGCCGAACAAGTCGCAGAAGTAAATAATGTCACGTGACCTTTGCACACGCTACAATTACTACGCAGCTGTAGTGGGGGAAGCGGGACGGAGGCGTGGAGAGGGACGCGATCGGTCGGCTGGGGTCAGGTCGCCGAGGTCAGAGGTCATCCGCCGGAGGGTGTTCGAGCGGTTGGGCCGTGTGGGCTAGGGCCTGCGGAGTGGGGAGCGCCTGGACCTGTCTGGAAACAAGCCACAACGCTGTGACAGTCGAGAATATTGTGAGGAAAGAGAGAGAGAGAGAGGGAGATGGAGAGGGAGAGAGAGAGGGAGGGAGAGAGGAAGAGAGAGGGGAGAGAGTGAAAGAGAGAGGAGAGAGAGGGAGAGAGAAAGGGAGAGGGAGAGATAGAAAGAGAGAGAAAAAGAGAGGGAGAGAGAGAGGGAAAGAGAGAGAGAGAGGGAGAGAGAGAGGGAGAGAGAGAGAGAGAAAAAGAGAGAGAAAAAGAGAGAGGGAGAGCGAGAGCGAGAGCGAGAGCGAGAGCGAGAGCGAGAGCGAGAGCGAGAGCGAGAGCGAGAGCGAGAGAGAGAGAGAGAGAGAGAGAGAGAGAGAGAGAGAGAGAGAGAGAGAGAGAGAGAGAGAGAGAGAGAGAGAGAGAGAGAGAGAGAGAGAGAGAGAGAGAGAGAGAGCTAAGAAAGACTGGGGGGAAAGAATAAGGACGGGAGGAGAGAAAAGAGAGAGAGAAAAAAAACTGAAAAGGAAAACCAGAGAGGGTAAAATGAGAAAGAGGGCAATTGGTAAATCAGTGAGAGGGAGCGAGAGAGGAAATATTTAGTTGTGTCAGCTTGTTTCACATGTAAAATGCAAATTTGCTTTCCATCATCACTGCTTCGGATTGGAAATTAAATCTTAGCATTCTTATGATAAACCCACGTTGACGGGGTGCAATAGCGGCGGAACACCTTCAATTAAGGGGGGGGGGGCACTGCCGACTTTTGGCCCTATTATTTCCATGCAACGCTCATAGGGCCAAAATCGCCAAAATCAAAGGGGGGCACGGTGTCCCGGTGCCCTCCTCGTTCCGCCGCCTATGACGGGATGGGGACGCTTTTATGGTTGTCGTTGGGAGCTCGGCACTAATGGGGTCAGTGGGGATGATGTTGAAGGTTTCGCAAATGTTTCATAAAAGAGATGCTATTTTTGCACAACCTATTAAACATTTTTTACGTTTGCTATGAAAATGTTAGGCCCAGTTCCTTCAAGATCAGGTCCACGACTCAACAGCTTACAACAGGAGCTAGCTAACATAACAATTAACCCACGCCGTGTTGGTGGCATGAATTTTCCATCGAGTGCTGGGGGGGGGGGGGCGTTTCACGTCCCTCCGTGGCCCCCTCCTGGGCCACGTAGCGACACGCAGTAAGCGGCAATCGAAAGAGCGTCAAGAATAAGGAGGAACACACTCGGTCATTTTAAGGTCAGTGCAAAGGTCAGGTCACCAGGGTTCATCAAAGGTCAAATTTTGTTGATTTCAGCGATTTCGAACACCCGACGGCTAACACGGGAACCAATAGAGCTACAGCGCTGCGGAAAAGCGCATTCGATAGCTCTTTTAACGCTCTTTCGCCTACATGTCCTCAAATTTGACCTCAGATCAACGGTTTAGCCCCCAGAGGGCACCGCTCTGATTGACCTCAAATTTGGCCTCAGATCAACGGTTTTTTCACCGCTCTAGCACGTCTCTGTCAAAAGTAAAAAAACTGCTGAGGACCTTTAATGTCCTAAAATGACCTCAGGGGCACACACAGGGGTCACAGGCGCAATTTTCCGATTCAGTGTGTCATGTTTACCTATGAACCGATGTTTGAGAGGGTGTAGAACGAAATTCGTCCAAAAGAGGCGCATTTCAATTTTCTCCCATTGACTTGGAGCAGTCGCAAAATTGACCTGACCTTAGGTCACAGACATAAAAAGTCCGAGGTATCCATTTTATGCATACTGTTACCCTAAGCAATTACTGAAAGTTTTAAAGTGATCGCTTAGTCGGTGTAGCTACAACGAGCTTTCGAATTTTTTTTTCTGAGGTAAGGTCACTTGACGTTACCTGGTGACCTTACCTTGAATGACGCTACGCGTCGCGTCGCCGTTTCTGAGATATTCGCGAAAAAAACCTGACTGGGAAGGGCGTAAAAACGCCCCCCCCCCCCAAGCACGGCGCGGGTGGTCGACATAGCAACTCGGACTGAACAAATGCCTTTAACCCTCGCCCGCACATGGGGGGTTGCCCCCCCCCCCCCCCCCAGGTAGTCTTTCTGCTCTGCACTCAACATTTTTAGAGCTAGAAGCCTGATTTTTGGTATAGCTGCTACTCTTTCCTGCTCCTCTATCCTCTATCCTAAAACTGGGCATCATTGGATTCGTCTCTTCCCAAAGAATCTTTTTGGTCTTTACCACGAAGCTGTATCTCCAACAGGAACGAAATGGCGCGGGGGGTGCCCCCCCCCCCCATGTGCGTTCTAGGATGGGAAAATGGCATGTGCGGGCGAGGGTTAACGTTTCAACGATTGAATAAGGTGAGAGGATTGAGGTAGGCTTGTATCGGATTTTCTTCTGCTTGTTGGTAGTTTAGGTTGAAGTTAATTTCGCGAGCTGTCCATAATCATTCAAGAGGGAAAATTCAGCTGCACATCGTTCGGGTCAAAGTAATACCAAACATTCTCAAATTTTGTAGTAAAGAGCCAGTAGTCTACGAATATATTCAAAAAACAATGAGAAAAAGAATAAGCGGACCGGTTTCGTCTATCAAAGACTTCTTCAGCGCTTTTTCAAAAACGTATAAGAAGAAAACTAGCACAGTGACAATCGTTTGAAATTAAATTGGATTCAGTAAGAACTAAGAACTTCATTGTCCGAAAACCGCTGACAGTTAATAGCTCAATGACACTTAGAGCCGTGCATAAGGAGGCGTGAAAACACTCTCCTCATCTCGTTCTATTACGAGACTAGGATCATGTCATGGCGTGAGAAAGGTGTTCTCAAAATAAATGACACTGTATGAGTGAATAAATATTCCGCGCCCCCCTGGGCTATTGGCGGACCCTCCCACCTGATCGGGTGGTGCAGCCGTTTCACCCTCCACCGATCTCGGAAAGTTACCGACCGATTTTAAACATTCAAAGAGCGATCGATAGCCCCACCAGGAAACTACTTTGTTACCAGGTTTCGTTGACCTAGGTGCAACCCATGACGTTACAAGTCAGGTCAAAGGTCGCATTTTTTCACCGATTTAGTCTAAGGAATGCGTTTACAGTTTAACACATCAAATAAAAGGCATGTTATCAAAAAACATCGATGGAGCGTTGGTTGTCTAATACATATGTTGCCTAAAGATGTCATTGATGTTAGGTCAGTTCACAGAGGTCAGGTCACTTAGGGTCACAATATGAACCCAACTATGCTAGGGTCGTGTGATGCATGTTTTATGGCAATTTTACATTTAAAATTCAATGGTGTGAGCTAGACGGCCATTGGGGCCAGTTAAGATTACATTTTGGTGGAGGTCAGGTCAAGGTCAGGTCAACGAAGGTCAAATTTCAAAGTTGATATTTTGCATAAAAGGGGTATCTATTCGATGCAATTCATCACAGGAAATTCAATGGTCTTTGGCTTGCTTTGAGTGTTCTGTGACGGCTAAAAATTGAATTTGAAAATTTTACGTAATAAATTTTGAGTATTTTTTTTGCCATAACTTTGCTAAAAATGAAGCTATCGAGTTTAAGTTTGGCATATCTAGAGCAGCTAGTTCTATAACATATATTTCAATTTTAATTTTGAAAGTTGTTGGTATTTTCGGGGTGTTATACATCTATAGTTTTGATGGTCAAAATCAATTTTTGTTTGGAAATAAGAGTTAGCAGTTTGTAGCGCTGTTCATTTTACATCTTTTTGATCTTGAATATTTTTCGTTATCTTCAAAACTAAGCGTGACAGCTCTTCCCGCTAAACCTTTTATTGGGTCGAAAATGACAGAACATGGCATCTCTCTGACGTCATTTGTGACTAACGTTTCATAAGAGCTCTGGAAAAATTTGGTCACAAGGTGTAAAAATGATGCCCGGAGGGGTCTTGAAAGTTTGGTGGCGACATTTGCTATACTTTAAGAGATATCGACTGAAAAGGAGAGAGGCGACCGATTCGCGCCGCCCTCCCCCATCAACGGGGCTTTCAATTGCTGCTCTCACAGAACTATTGGTTATATTGCAACGATAGTGGAATTGCAAGTGGCAATATAAGCTTCCTGCCAGCGCCGGACCAGAGTTTAAAGATGCAGGCTGAATTTTAACATTTAACTTTGGAATTTTTAAACCGTTGAGCTTTTTAGAAGCTGTATGAACTGTTCAGCTCCTTTTTTGGTCCATCACAGCGGGCTTGTATGTCATTTGCCAACCAAAATCGAATTAAAAACTTTTATTTGGTCTGGCTACCTCGCC